TTTTCAAGTTAGTGTGGTTTTTGTTTGTGCTGTAATGAACAAAAATTACTCAAATGCGTATCAGTTAGTAAATTCATCAAAATCGATACATGATGTCTTCAAAAAGTTATAAACGAACAAACAAGTTGAAACGAACCGAAAAAACGTATATTAATCTATTGTACAAGCTGTCTTTTTTTGAAATTTTCGGTTGCCAAAAAACGCTTAGCGAAGCTTCTAAACGTAGTTTTCGCTCGGTAAAATCAAGTTATTTTAGTCTAACTGACCAATTTCCAGATAAAAAAAATATTTACAATAACGCTTCACCCACTAGGACTGAGACTAAAACTCTAAATAGTCAATTTGGTTTTTCTCGACACTGAAACAAAAGAATCTTCATCATAATATATATCTTTTTGAGTTAAAGCTCAGGGCAACAAATTTTGCGTTATACTTGAAAACTCCGACAAAATGGCTAGTTGAAACGTCGAAACTGCCTGAAGAATAAACATCCAGAGCACAAATATCTTCTTACTTTTGTTACAAAAGTTAGAACAAAAATCGATAAAACTCCTTAAATGATTTTTGAATGTTACAGAACGTAACTTTAGCGTTGTAATGACCATATTTTTTTTTCTAAATTGCAATGAGCTGACAGGTACTTTAATAAGCGCGCGCCAATCATTCAGCACGTGAGGTTACACCTCTGAGCCTCAGTTGGTCACTTTTTTGTATAAAATGGAAGGATCAAGTATCAAAATGTTTTGGAGTACAAATCAGCCAATTCATGTTTTATCCTTCTATAGGTTACCGTATAAAGTCTGCTGTTTAAAAAATTGCTTGACCACATGAATAATTTTGCAATATCAAAACTGAAGGCAAGAAAGTGAAAAGTTTTTGATGTTGGGTGGTCATTTTTTAGCAGATGGTTTCTAAACATTTTATGAAACTCGTTATTAAAATAATATCTCTGTAGTTACTATAATTCTCCGCATTACCCTTTCAATGATAAATTCAAATTTCACTGATCATTTCAGGGCGAACTTCTGAATGTTCTGACTGCCTTTCAAGCTATATGTAGCAGTAGAAACATGATAACACAAAACAATATTTTTTAAACAAAACTAAGATTTTATTTTAAAAATCATCCCCCCGCAAAGGATATAAGGCACAACATGATATACTTCGCTCCGAGTGACAAATCAGTAGTAGCAAATAAGGTTCCTTCAATCAAATTGGAAAAGGACTTAAATGATTTTTGAATGTTACAGAACGTAAGTTTAGCGTTGTAATGACCATAATTTTTTTTCTAAATTGCAATGAGCTGACAGGTACTTTAAGCTCATTCGCATCAAAACTTCTAAGACGCATCAAAACTCCGCTTGCTCGTTAATAGCAAGTTAGAATATTAGAAATATATCGCACTTTAATTGTCACAATTTGGCCAAAATAGCAATCTTTAAACCCCCATAACTTTACAAAAAATGATCTAAGGTAAAATAACTTTTCAAATTCAAGCTCAGGACATCAATAACCTTTGAGTGATATTTAAAAACGTCGTCAGAAAAGGCTTGTTAAAAAGTCGAATTTTGTCTGAAGAAACAATACCCCGAAAAGAAAATATTCCGTTACTTTCGTTACAAAAGTCAGAACAAAAATCGAGAAAGCTCTTTAGTTGATTTCTGAATGTTACGGAACGTAATTTTTGCATTGTATTGACCATATATTTTTTCTAAATTACAATGAGCTGACAGATATTTTATCAAAGGCACGCCAATCGGTCAGTGATTTAAATTACACCTCTAAGCCCCTTGTGGTCACTTTTATTATAAACGGATGAAACAACAGTTCATTGGTTCATTTTTTTTTCAAGTTAGTGTGGTTTTTGTTTGTGCTGTAATGAACAAAAATTACTCAAATGCGTATCAGTTAGTAAATTCATCAAAATCGATACATGATGTCTTCAAAAAGTTATAAGCGAACAAACAAACTGAAACGAACCGAAAAAACGTATATTAATGTTTTGTACAAGCTGTCTTTTTTTTTGAAATTTTCGGTTGCCAAAAAACGCTTAGCGAAGCTTCTAAACGTAGTTTTCGCTCGGTAAAATCAAGTTATTTTAGTCTAACTGACCAATTTCCAGATAAAAAAAATATTTACAATAACGCTTCACCCACTAGGGCTGAGACTAAAACTCTAAATAGTCAATTTGGTTTTTCTCGACACTGAAACAAAATAATCTTCATTTTATTGACGTTCTAAGGACGACTTAAGCTGCTGGATTATATATAACTCGACTTTCAAATTTTCGTTGATTCGCTCTGAAACACCTTGATATGCTTAAGTTTTGTCTTTTGAATATCTTTCTAAGAAAAATTAAGCTTTTTGCGAATAGATTTGCTCTTGAAAATATTTTAAAATTAAGTTTATGAACTTGCAGAAAAATTTGGATTTTTTGCAATTTCATTCTTTTTACGAAATAAATTGAAATACTTCAAGATTTAATCGCTTGTATAGCTTGCTTAGAGAAATTTAAAACTTCCGCGTACTAATCAGTCAGAAACAATCTGAAATACTTTCACAGCTAGAACAGCTTGCTTAGGAAAAACCTGAGCTTTTTTGCGCGCCGAATCGCTGTAATTTTATCTCAAAAACTTGATTAATTTGGGTAAGAAAATTTGAAGCTTTAGCTAACTGATTCGCTCTATGAAGCAACTTGAGAATTTTTGAAAGTCATTGCTTGAAAAGATCGCTTAGTATTTTTTTGTTTCATAGCTAGCTTATAAAATACTTTAACCTTTGCATGCCGATTCGTTCTATGACAAAACTTGAAGGTTCGAAGTTAAATCGATAAAAAAAAACTAGTTTTATGCGAACCAAAACTGAATTCTTTTGTATTTTCTCGCTTGCTGGGAAACTCTAATTTTTCGCAAAAATTTCGGTATAACAAGAAAAATGGAATACTCCAAGGCTTTTAGCTTGAATAGCTGGCTTCAAAAAACAAACTTTGAAACAATTAGTTCTATGAAATAACTTGAAACACTTCAAAGTCTTGTCTCTTGAATATCGTCCTGTTTTTATCGAACTGTTTCGCACTTTGGAACGATTTGAAATAACTCAATGTTTCATATCTTGCTTAAGAAACTTCAATTTTGGGAACTGATTCAGTCGATGAATTTTTTCAATCAAGATCAGAAAAACTTTTTTGCGATCAGATTGATTAATGAAGACGGGCTTACTAGTTTTATTTAAATGCAAGACATTGTTTTTATCTAGACATTTAAAAAACGACAAAAGAATACTTATTTTCACAAAAATAAAGCTCCAACAAATATTATCAAAAAAAAACATCAACTCTCTTCGTTAGCCAGAAAATTGCAGCTTAAGAAGCCCAGGTTTAATGTGTTCACTTAATATATGAATATTATCAAGTAAATTGTGATTTATAAAATTAGGTTTTCAAATTTTTTTTTCAAATATACACTGAGCTACAGTAAATAAGTGGAGACTTGATTTCAACACGAATGAACGATTTTTTTTCGGATTTTGTAGTTTTCTCCACAACTAATTAAGATATGGTGAGAAAACGACAAACATGTGAAGAAAACAAAGTCGTTCATTCAAGTGTCTACTTGTAATTGTAGGAAAGTGCTGTTTGAGCTTTGTTTGGTTAAGAAAACTTATTACTCATTTCCTCCAAAATATGCTTACCTGTTGGGCCAAAATTTTAATGTAGGCACAAGCCACAGGGAGACTGAAATATTGAGTTTAAAATAACGCGTTACAATTGCTTGAATTTTTAAGCTTGATCAATTTCAGTTTATGTTTCAAAACGTAGAAGAATATTTTTGCTACGAATATAGTAAAAATTTGCGTATAATTGTTTCTTGATCTTTACTATTAGAAAAAAAACTTTCTAAAATTATAATTTGAAAATCATGGAATACGCGAGCTGCCGAATTTTAAACGCAGAAAATAAGGCGATTTTTTTTTCATGATTTGCATCGGTAATTAGATCTTAACTTGGAATTTTACTTCAGAAAAATGGAGAACTGATTTTGTAAGTAAGAATGTAAATTAAAGTAAACAACATCTACAATTGTTTTATTTGAAAGAACCAACTAACAAGCTTTCTTGGAATCGCCATCAGCATGGAACTCTTCTTACTCGCAGCAATTCGAAAATTTAAATTCAATAGTACCAAAAATCAAATTTGACAGCAACCAAAGAGTTCCGTGACTGCCGAAGATACCTAACACATTATCATATCAAATTTTATAATAAACCGACTTTAGAAAATGAGATTGTGTCCACTTTCAGCAAACATAAATAAAGCCGTTTATGTTAGAAAGCAAAGTTGCAAAAAGTATATTTTATTAATTTCGGGATTATTAGTTAAGTTTGCTGAGCCGCGACAAAAAATGATGTAATTAATTGATTCCATTTAGTAAGACTGAATTTGGAAGATACTTAACATGGGCAATGCATATGATCAACATATGCTAAACTATTTAGCAATCAACTCTTTTTTAAATTTATTTCACGGTAGATCAAACAAAAGGTGCTCTAATATTTAAGATTTACGTGGATATTTGAGTAAATTTCCTTGAAAAATTGCAACTATTATGTTCAAGGAGGCTAAAATGCGTTGAAATAGGAGCACTTTCCATACCTTTCCAAAATGACCGTGAAATCAAAAACGGAGCCAACTTGCATAAGCTGCTGTGAAAAGAAGACTGCATGTTTCTAGATAATAACTAGCACAAGATGACTGAAACGAAATGCAACTGAAAATGTTAGAAGCGAGCGTAGCGAGGAGTGCAGAACATAATAACAGCCCAAAATACTTCCTTTTTAATCAATACCTCATAATTAGAGAAGCAATAAATGGGCTCCTCTTACTTATATGGCCCAAAATGATGTTAATCAATAATCCCATTTAAAAAAAACTAAATATTCCATAAGTATATTGTGTAAATATTTGATTTTAACCAATCAGGTGCAATAAATTCTCACTTAATTTTTCCCAACTTCTATTTTCGGCCGTTTAAGTAAAGTCCCAATAAATGCGTCGGTCCTTAGTTTTTTCAAAATTCCATTTTAGGAACAAATCGATTCACTATCTAAGCATGGACCGACAACAATTACACCTGACGTTTTGAACGGTTCTAGTGGGATATCGATTGCATTCAATTTTCCCACGTACAAAATTGCCGGCTTAATGAAAAAAAAACTCCCATAATTCGAATGAGTTAATTTATACTGAAGCTCTGTTATCATGGTCAACTATTTACTTATTATAATTGGATTTGAAATGTCAAGTAACTAATCTAAACCATCTTGATGAAATTGAATACACAATAAAATCTAATTCGCCCTTTGACTTTACAGCACAATTAAGGATAAACTGGCGAGGCGCTGGAAAAGGACTAACAACCAATGTTTCTTAATAATGGCAAAAATCTGGGTCGCGTTAACTATTACATAACAATTGAATCACGGAGCAAATGATCATGCAACTCCATTAGGCAGGGGCGCTGCGTCACAATCTGAAGCAGTGATTTGAGGCGTAGAAGAAGACGGATTAGAGGGGGTATTTATGACTGAGGGGATGGGAGCTGAGTTGTTGTTATTATTACTTGAATTAATATTAGAACTAGTAGTGGTGTTTGCATTATGAAAATCGGGATCGAAACATCCGTTGGTGAGAAGACAGTTGGAGGCTGCTTTGGAGAACTGTTCCACTTCGTCTGCTACTGAAGATAGTGTAGAAGATATAGCCAGAGATTCCTCCAGGTCCAGCTCACTTGAGGTCCAGTGGTGTCCTGTGTCGTCCTCGTCCTCCCTATCCGACGTGCATGGCGTCAAAGTCACAGTCGAAGCATTGGAGCTGGAGTCGCTGTCCGTGTCCGATATGATGTCCGTCTCAGATCCGAATCTGGACTTCGAGATCCCCCCACTTGACTCCAGATGATGCTGCTGCTGGCTGCGGTGATTAGTTATGTTCAGTCCTGAGTCTACAGAGAAATGGTCAATTTAAACTTAAAAGTTTTTAGGGACTTTTATAAAATCTACTCGATGACGGTTTTGTTATTCTATAAAATTGCAGCAATTTGAACACAGGGGCAATGTGGAATTTTGCACCACTTCTGATACATCACAAATAACGCATGGGATGCTAGTCAAAAGAAAAAGAGACGAAAACCTATGAACCGAAAAATTCGTTTGAAAAAAAAACATCAAAAAATCTGCTATGCCGTCATATATTTTATCAAATGAAGCTCATTTTGAGGAAAAACGGTCGAGAGTTATAAAGACAAACGCTACATTAGCATTTATACTAACTTATAAATTGCAAACCCAATTGTTTACATAAAATCGATGAGCTGGCTTGATTGGAAATTTCTCAAAAATGGCTATAACGAAACAAATTATACACAGAAGCTGAGCTTCGCACCACTTGCGATAAAAAAAATAAAATACTATGATTAAAATCATCTGAGAAGAAAAATCATAGTTAAAAAAACTTCAAGTCGTTTTTGTTAAGAACTTTCGGAAGGCTAAACAAAGCCAAAACTTGAAATAAATCCATTCTGCGGGAACTAAGCCAACAAAAATGAGCAAACAGACAAGAAACTGAAATAGCCAAAAAAAATTTGCAAAAAAAACAGATACCGACTGAAATCGAACTCCCGGGCTTTGTCTTTTCAAGCATGGTTGTTGTAGCAGCTTGGAAGAAGGCTTAACACTCGAAAAAGTAGGGCTACCGGAATTAAGTCGGCAATACAAAGGCGAAGCTTCGCTTCGCAAAAACTAGCGAGAACACAAAAAAAGCACCTTTAGAATAAAAAAAAGAAATAAACCTCGAATAAGCAAAAAATCAGCCAGGTCTGGGATTCGATCTGCGACCTACTGCAATCAAGAGAATTTGAGACTCATGCAATAACCACTTAACCTCGCACGCTTAATTACCCTAGATAATCGACAAACACTTATCAAGAAAAAAAGAGCTACATAGGCTAATAACTTGCCAATGCTATTCAGCTAGTGGCACCAAATACAAATAGACCCAATTTTGCAAGTAACAATTTGGAATATAACAAACTGAAGGAATCTACATTAACTTTGCACGTAACAAATCGCAAAACATAAACCCACATTATGTATAAATTATGCATTTCAAAAAAATGCGAGATATATTGAGTTAGAAAATTTCTGAAATCGAATTTTTAGTATTGTTATGTTGTTTGAAACAAACAGCTTTTTTCGGTTCATTTGATTTTTTAACGCAGAGGCGAAGCTGCACTTCGCATACACAAGCAAAATGTTACTGGTAACGCTACTGGGAAAAATTGAATGAGTAACTTTGAGTCTACAATACTTCAAGCGACGCACGCCAATTATAAGTATACATAATTGCTAAGTGACGCAAGCCACTTATGACGCATTAGCAGTACCAGTCAATTTGAAAAAAAAATACCAACTAGCAGGCCTCAATTTATAGAGCGGACGCATTTTAACTAGTATACGAACAGGTTCATTAAAAACATCCGACACTGCCTAGGTTCGAACCCTCTTATTTTGTTTCCTTCCCTAACTCTACACTACAGATCCATAATACCTTGAAGCTAAAGTCTTATTTGTAATACAATGGTCTGTGTTAATATCCGTAGCATTGGCTGCACTTAATGGCTGGTTCTTGATCAGAAGACTTTCCGAAAAGCACAAAATCTCTTAGATTGCAAAAAACAGGTCCCGATAGGATTCGAAAAAGTCTTTGCCCTCTCAAGCAGATATGTTACCTCTAACCAGATGCTCCGGATTTTCAGGTGAGATTTCTGTGAACAAAGTTGTTTACAGGAAAAAAGTCTAGAAGCCGGTTGCAACACCTTTGCTATTCGAAAGGGAAATACCGTTAAAGCAGCTTGAGTTTTGGGTATCCCTATTGGAGAAAAGTGGAAGTCTGAAAGCTTTTTCGCGTCATTTTTGGAGGGCCTAATAAGATTTGCAATTAACAAATGAATTTGATTGAACTTGAAAAATCTAAATCAGATCATGAACATGCGACATTTAGTACGTTTTTCTATGAAAAAAAAAACGACCTCAATAAGTAATATATGACTTTTTTCATGCACAAAAAATCACCACTACCAAAAAGAATTGGAAATATCCTATATACGTCATAATATTAATTATTCTCTCGAATGTACAATTTTTTTGTTAAATCTGCTTGATATATAAGTTTGATATTTAAGTTTTATCGCGATTTCAATCAAAACATCTTCACAAAAAATATCACTAAAATAGTTACCTGAGGAAGTTGCTTTGTTATTCATTGAAGCACCTTCGAAAGAGTTGTTGTTATTATTATTACTGTTCGCATTCCTTTTGAATTCAAACTCAACCACTGGTCCGTTTGTTAGAGGCTGTCCCGCGTTCGCATCTCCATTTGTGCTTTGACCGAATCCGTTCATCGTCACTTGGCCAGTGTGCTCCGACTTTGGGTTACCCTGGTCTCCACTGTCCACACTGCTGGATTGGGTTGTATCCGGGCGTGTCCTTTCCCCTTCTTCTACCCATGAGTGAGAACCAGTCGAAAACGAGTCTGAGGGTGAGAAGGAGAGTGAGCTGTTCTGACTGGACTCTGGTGCAAATTGTGTTGCAAACAGACCTGCGTTTGAGTTACTGCCACTGTTGTTCAAACCTAATAAACTGTATATGATAACAAAGGCTCTCACAATACGCATGGAGTACTCCTATCGAAACAAAACTTCGATCTAACTTTGAGCATTGAAACTCACACCTAGCTAGCAAGGACGATTCTTCATTGAACTTTCGCAACTAAAAGTTAATCAGTAGTTCAATCTTCATTCGAATTTTGAAATCCCGAGAGCCAATTTTCAGAAATCGTTTTTACATTTTTGATACGATTTACTCAAATTGAGAAACCGCTTCTTTTTAACATCACTTGTGGTCCAAAAATATATGCATTTATAAAATTAAATATAGACGATGTCCGGCTTCACACCAGTTGCGATTTTGATTGTTGGAAAAATCATATTTTAAGGAAACTCGTGACGCATAAGAAAATCTAACTAAAAAGTTCAAAAAACAGATTGAAAAATCAGCCCATAGACTGTTGGAAAAGAGTCAATGATCGCAAGAAACAGGAAAAAAATACTGAAGTCGATCATGTTTTTCGTGACCTTTACACTTTCGGTGTTCAATTGCTTTACTTTTTTTTTAAAAAAAAAAGGCCACGACCTAAATAAGAGTATGAACCACGATAGAAAACTCCAGAGATACTGAAACTAAAAAAAATAGAATATATAGGCAACCAGTCAATTTAAAGGCAGCGCAGAATATGCAGAAACCACTAAATGAGCGGAAGCCATTAAGTCGATGCAAAAAAACTGACAAAGAGCCAAAGCTGTACTCCACGAACAACAGCACAAGAAAATAACAATGAGCAGATCAATTAAAATGAAAAAAAAACTGACAAAAAGGAAATAAAAGTTAAAACAAGCCTCGAAAACAACGTTGTTGTGCCGGAAACGAACTGCCGACCTGGAGATTGCGCGTCTCACTAAAACAGATGCTATTAAATTACGACGCTATGCAGCAAAAGTGCCGCCAAATTACCACTTTTACTCACAGCTAGAAAGTCGTGGATTTGCATTATGAATTTGCATTACAATATTTCTCGGAGGTGCAACTGTGCCAACAAAATTTGGATACACGCCAGTTGAACCGAAAACAAACTTTTTGGTGAAATTGTAGGTGGTGGTTTTGAGCTATAGCTTTGAAACCCCCTCGAGAAACAGAATGATAAAAATATATTCATTTTTCACATGACGCAGTTATTACGCGAATACGGGAATATAATATGAGCCGGGAACCATGATTAGAAGCAGATAAGTGCATTTCAGGGCTGATTCCCCATCAGTTTCAGGGTTAAAAACTTAGAAGCGAAAACTGTATCTGACAGAGATTTGGAAGAAGCTTAACAAAATACTTCTAACAGCTCATGTCTTTTCGACAAGATACCAACTCCTTATCTGAAAACAATTTCAGGAGCCTGGAAAAATTTTCAAGTAGATTAATAAACTGTAGCTTGGAGCAAGAGACTTACCCAGAGAGTTTCAAAATAGCAAATATGAATCCTCGTTTGAAAAAACCGTCATTGGACCCGGAAGTTTTAAATAATTACCAACCACTTGCAAATAAAAAAAAACAGTATCCAAGATCATTGAAAGAGTAGTGACCTCTCAATTGACTGTTTTTTTTAAAACGTAATAAGCTGCTAGATACCAACCAATCCGCTTTTACAAGTCAACAATCCACAGAAGCCTGCTTGTTTAAAATGATGAACGAAATTATATGTCAACTTGACGAAAACGCTCTTGTGATTGTGCTCGGAGCACACTTATCACCGGCTTTCGATACCATGAAATACAAAATATTGAATTATATACTACACGGGCAGTTCAGTATAAAAGATGTGCGTAACGATTATATGGTGTGGATTATATCCTACCGAAAACAAACAGTACAGGTCAATAGGGAAATCTTTCGAGAAGAAGTAGAGTACGGAGTCCCACAATGGTCAATTCTTGGTAGAATTATTTTCATTATGTAAGTGACATCGATAGGCAATTATCTTAAATTTATGGGTCTCTCTTACCAAATCTACCCTGATGATACCTTGATATATGTATAACTAGAAAGAAAAGCGACCCATTCAAAAAAAATTTGAAATAAATACAATCGTAACGAAGCTACTTACAATGTTCAATGAGCTGAAATTGAAGATCAAGCCAGACAAAACAGAAATATTGTGTACCAAGTTGAAAAGAAATAACGTGAAGCTTGATAATCTAATTCTTGGAAACACCAAAACCGATTCTGTTCCTTTCATTACTTCTCTGGGCGTAAATATAGATACGAATTTCAACTTAACGAGACATAAAAACTCTAACTGGAGCGCTTGCTATGTCCAACTCAAAAAAAAAAACTGTACCGCTTTCAACAGTTTTTAAACCTTGGAAATACAAATTCACTAAAAAAGTCTTATTTGAGCAGACTCCAGTATTGTATCGTTACGCAACAGGAAACACAAGGTAGACAATTTGCAAAGTGTTTAGAACGCTGCAGGTTCCTATTTGGCATCATGAAGCACGAATCATACAATGAGCTAAGATAGTTTACATTGGCTGCCTATCAAAGAACGAAATGTTTTTAAATAATGTTTTTAAGCATAAACAATTTATGGCGCGGAAACGCCTGAATATTTGAAAAATTTTGCTCTCTACAGAGAAGAAATGAGCTTCAGAATGGCCTTCAAAAATCTGTCAAAGTAACATCATCAATGACGGTAGGATAAATAGGAAAACTTTTAGGCAGCTTGTAATTTTACTAACACAAGCCGCCAATAAAGCAGCTTCAGTTTTTATCAAATTGCCGGTGTTATGCGGCAAAATTCGACCAAAACAAATGAAACTATTCAAATGTTCCGGATTTGAATATCTGACCGGTTGATTAGGAGTATCATCAGGTCCTCGTATCTGCGCTATGGTCGCTTGAAAATTAACAAGTGGCCCAGCTAAAGCTGGATTTTTACCTGTTCGAATACGTTTAATCATATATTGTACTGATACAGAAATGCATAATTTTTAAAATTTCAAAAAATAGGGTTATACGCTAAACTATTAGTTTCCATGCTTAAGTAGGGGATTAGCCGCTTAGTTAAATTAAAAAAACTACTTTTCGCTCTTTCAATTGAAGTGTATCTCAGATTTGGCCGGGCAGTTTTCGAAACAAAGCGAAAAAATTCCAAAATCGATCAAAAATTCGACTGTTCCTAAATGCAGAAAATTTTCTCTTAAAAAGCATGGAAACATCCTTTGCTTTCCACATCCTGATTTTAAAATTGAAGACTCCCGCACCCTAAATTTCTTGATTGAATCCGTAATATCAGATTTAGCTTATAGCTTTAGAGAATAGTTTCGAAATGTCTTTAAGAAACGGAAAAAAAAATTGACAACAAATTTTTCAGAAGTCCATATCATCTTTTCTACAAAAAAAACAGGATTAAACAGAATACGCAGACAAAATCTAATCACCATGTCATTTTGAAAGATTTATTAACCTCAGAATCAGCAGGTTTTTTTTTTGAAAAAAAAAGAATAAAACTATGGGCATATGGTAATAAATTGGATATTTTCTAAGTCCATAATTTTTTTTTCAAAACGCAGGGCATAGCCGCTAGCGTAGATAAGATTCGCATAATCGATTATTTTGTTTCGGCTAAACCCTCAACCTCATATTTGGAAGGTAGTTTTTGAGAACAATCAAAAAGTTTTTAAAATTAACCAAATGGATTTGTTTGATGCCATATCGTTTTTTCCTGCCGATTTCAGGGAATAGCCGTTTGAGAAGTGTAGATCCCCATAATTTTTTTCTCGAATTAAAACCTTCATCTCAGATTTAAGCAATTAATATTTGAGAAAACAAAAAATCAAAACAATAGGCCATTAATCCCCCTACTAAAACTTTCGATGGCCGTAAAACGTGAGGTAACAGAAAAGAGACTAGTGAAAAATGGAGGCACATCAAAGAGCAGCCGGTTATTCCATTGGTACCATTTTTTAAAAACCGGCATTAATTTTTGAGAAAAATCGAATTTCTGCTAAAAGAGCAAAAATTTTCCAAATCGTCGCAAAAAAAAACGAAAAACAACAAATCCCATACATTTTCACAAAATATGTTTTTTTTTAAACAGGACCTAACACTAGCCAACAAATATTGTCGATTAAATTGCTATTAAATTGTCGATGCTTAAATATGCTCATTATGATTAAATTGAAATTTACCAAAAGTGCCACCAAATGAGCACTTTTATTTGCGACTTAGGTTAGAAAAACTCTTCGTAATCATACACTTCACTGCGCATGTGTAAAAAGGATCTGAACGAAAAGCTACACTAATTTTCAAAACCTTTTTTTAAAAAATTTTTAAGACTATGGTGCGAAAATTCGGTGCTACTTGCACAGTAACCGGCTATCCTTTTTATAAATTGAAAATAAAGGAACATTCGAGTAATTCTCTGGATTCTAAAACATTACATACACTTTAAATGGTAAAAAACAAAAATCAAACTTTTTTCATAAAAACAAGAAATTGAACCGCAATTTTCTACACAGAGGCGAAGTTGCACTTCACATACACAAGCAAAATATGACCAATAACGCTACCGGGAAAAACTGAACGAATAAAACTTTGAGCCTACAAAATTTCACAAGTGATGCACGCCAATTATGAGTATACATAATTGCTAGGTGGCGCAAGCCAATTATGACGCATTAGGAGTACCAGTCAGTTTAAAAAAAAAGAAACTTACCGATTAATATGCCTCAATTTATAGAGCGGACGCATTTCAACTAGTATACGAAAAAATTCATTAAAACATCCGACCCTGCCCAGGTTCGAACCCTCTTATTTTGTTGCGGGTTTCCTTCCCTAACTTTACGCTACAGATCCATGATACCTTGAAGCTAAAGTGCTATTTATAATTAAATAGTCTGTGTTCAAATCCTTAGCATTCGCTGTACTTAATAGCCGGTTATTGATCAACATGAACACTAATATTTGCAACCTAGGTTGGAAAAAAATAGAGTTCAAACTAATCAAACAAGCTTTGCTTGTGTAGAAAAGAATTTGACACCTCAAGCTGTTTTCAAAACGGAGCGTGAAAAATTTTCAAGATTTTGACTCCAGATATAGCGCTGGCTGTTTACATGAAACCTAAATAAAAATTTCCTGCTAAACTATGCGACTTCGTATGAAATGAAAAAAAGACTCGCGTTATAACAGAAGTTCCACTTGAGCGAAAAAAGATGATTGAATAGATCATCAAAAACTCCTTATTGTGAAGCTCTTTAACAACTTTTGATGTCTCTATTTTCACAATTTAAATCTAACCTAGAGATGGTCGCTTCTTAACTGTCCTGCTGGGATATTCAAACATCAAATCGGCATTCGGAGAACTGACGTCGGCATCTTCCCCTTCCGAGTTGTTTTCGTCTGTGGATCGACTCGAGTTATTGGAGTTCGGGTCATCTCCCTGTACAATTCCAGCTGTATCGGGGCCTCCGCCAGAATTGACGGGTGATGCGGCGGTATGGGGTTCTGCGGCTGATGCGAGCAGTATGCGCGACTTGAAGTCTTGGCTGACCTTGAGCAGTTCTCTGAGTGTTTTGTTCTGGTACTCCAACTCCGCTATTTTCTTCTCGGCAGCATAAGCAGAGCTCTCGTCCAACCTCACCACTTGTTGCATCACTGACACCATCTCCATTATTTTGGCATTCTTCTGCTCAATCTCCTAGAAACAAACCCAGACATAAGAAAACACCTCTACAATAGTATTTACAACCATGTACTCGTAGAGCCATAATTAAAAGTAACAATTCTAGATTTTAGTAACAATCTAGATATATTCAAACGATTGATTGAGTGAATGAGAACTATTATCAAGAGGCTGATTGACCAAACAGAACAATAGTTATATGAGGCATAAGTATTTATCCACTCATGTTCATGATTTTCTGAACAAACATAACTTCTGCTATCTTTTCTGTCCACTAAATGACTTGCATATACAAATATGCTGACATCAAGTGTCACTTTTTAGTCCATTAACAATTCTAGACAGGCTTTTGACTACTTGATCAAATTTGTTTCATGTTGGAACTTAAGGTGTGTAAGCGAGGAAGGGCACTGACCCGTTGGTTGACTGCCGCATTGAAGGTGGTGAGGTCTAGTTTGGCGTACTGGGAGAGAGTGGACACGTGTTCCCTGTACTTGCTCATGATCAGCTCCATGGCGTTCTGGTGCTCCTCCAGCGCCTGCTTCAACTCCTCGTTCTCCCGCTGCAGAGTCTTGATCTGTCTGTTCTCATACTGGATGCCTTTGATCAGCTGGCGCCTGCTGTTGTTCAGCTGGGGACGAGGTCTGTTGTTCTCATTTATCCCATCCACTTCGTCCTTGTACTACAACACAACACAACAATCAGCCGACAGCCAAGAAATGCTTCCTCATCTCAAATACAAAAACAATTTAGATGTTTTATGGCAGAACTTAATGTTGATTTAAAGAAAACTTGAAGATTGAAACTCTATCGGATGTTTATTTTTTGTTCCAATAAAGATATCCCGGAGACCCTAATTGCAGTCATGCCCAAGTTTTCCATACTATGTTGCGCTCTACTAAAGCTATCCATAATCTAGCAAAAAATAAGTAAACAAAATTAATTAATTTGCGACACTATGAACTTCATGGCAACAAAAGAGAACTTTTCACTCCAAAACAGTACTATAATGTGCGTGGTTGGTAGTAAGAAATTCAAAAACAGAAAGCGTAAGTGTAATAATAAAGGAGGTTCTTGATGGCATTACTTTCTAAAGGAAGTTATTTCTATACATTTCGAAAATTGACACGATCTTTATCAACACGGGCGGCAAAACCGAGCTTCACGCCACTTGAATTATGAAACACAAATGCCCGGAAAACTTTATACATATATTACGAACTTTCCTTTATGCTAATTTCACAAACTCTACGCCAATAACGACAAGTTAGGGCATAGATATCCACATATATCATGTATTAATTATCTATGTTTCGGTGCAACATGAGTAGAAAGAATAAACATAGAGTAGAAGGAAATCTGATAAATAATTCCTTTTTTCAAAATTTAGAGGTCGATCCCGTTTTTCCTGACCTTTACACGTTTGCTGTTGGATAAAGGTGTTTGCCTTCCTTTTAACACGGGAAATGAATGGAACTTAAAAAGAAATAAAAAGTCAAACCGCTAAATTCGAGCCTGATTAACATTTAAGTTTTTACCTGAAAAAAAAGAAACAAAAAAATCATCGGGACCTATACAAGAGTCTTAACTACACAGGGGCGAAGCGGAGCTTCAAAACCCTTGAGAAATACAACATTTCATTGAAGATGGTGAAGAGAAAAAGAGACCGAAAATATATCTTTTCTTTTGAAAATTTGACTTGAAACATTACTTCACAAAATCGATAAAAAACTGTATCAGCAACTTCCCAACGTTTATCCTTTAAAACAAAACTTGTCACAAAAAACTAACTTACAAATTCCAAGACTCATTCCTACTGAGACACAAAAAACATTCGCAAAAAACACCCAGTAAAATCTACGCACTATTAAAGCACATAACCGCTATAACATTAACCGCAAACGTTTGATCGAAAAGAAAAAAAAAACACTTTCAAAATCATAGTTGGTAAAGTTCCAAATTACAATAACTCAAAAACCAAAATTAAATCCTAACTAAAACCCATGCTTTGGAATATGCTCGATAAAAACTGTAATAGATTATAAAAAATGGCATTTGAAAACAATACAGAAAATGAGCCCACGAAAGTTAGGACGAAAATCACGAATCCGAAAATAACTTGTAGACTTCTTCAATTAGCTAATTTGAGTAGGCTTATGGTTTCTCAAGTAAAATAAAGAATTATGTAGGAGATATTCTTAATTCTCGTTCTTTCAATTGAACACAATGTCAGATTTAACAGAGTAGTTTTCAAGAAAAAGGGATACATTTCCAAAGACCGTTAAAAATTTACCCATTTAGCTAAAGAAGATCTTTCCACTGAGTTCTTCCAATTGAACCATTAACATCAAGAAGCAAGCAAGAAAGTTTTTCAAAAAGGCTTCCAAAACAGAGGCGAAGCGGAGCTTCACATCACTTGCGATACCACAAAAGTAACATTGCGAGCAAGCAGACAGCAAAAGAAAAACAGCCACTAAGACCAAAAAAAAAACGCAAAAAGTTTTCGAAAAAATTACAACTGAAAAAAATCAAAATATTGTCAGGAATGATTTTCTATACGCTGAAAACACGTCCAGAAACACAATCGACGGCGACAATTGTTGAGCGAAAAAAAATTGTTGCCATGAAAAAAAAATGAAATTTTAATTATACTCAGAGATTTTCAACACTTTGTGCAATCCGGAGGAAAGCATACAATTTATGGTTCACTCGAACGACCCAAAGTTAGGTGAGTAATCAAAAAAGTCAAAAAAGGAGAAAATACGAAGTCAACATTGGTAGAACTACAAATTGCAGAAGTAAAAGAAAACATAAAAAGCAACTACAATGAAAACTGCAGACAGCAAAAAAAAATAAAATGTGTTAACTAAGCCGATTAAACTTAAGCAGACAATAAGCCGACAATTTTTTTGAAAGGATAACTTCCCGTTTGGAAAAAAAACAGGTACTCGTCAGTTTCGAACCCAGGACCTTTGCCGTCCCAGGCGTGATAATTACCTCCAGACTGAGTGTGCCAAGGAGGCTCAAATTTGATATCATTATGGTTCAAGGTACCAAGTGATTCTCTCAAACAAAAAATCTATGTTCCGATTTGATACCGCTAGCTAATCACAATCTATCAAAACTTTGACTTTACTTCAGCTCAGAACAGTTTTCTACAAAATGAGTGTGTAGCTGGTTCAGCGAAGGAGATTCTCATAACCTGTTCCTTTAATTAAAGCTTTAATCTCAGAAACGGTAGTTTTTTTTAAAAACAGTATCCACAAAAACGGTTTAAAAAATCAGACTTTTTCTAGGGCCGCAACTTTCTTTCCACAACAATTATGGTGTAGCCGCTTGTTCAGAGAGAATTCCAACCTCAGAATTACTCGATTGAACCTTCAACTTAAGAATTTCAGGGTATTTTTCGAAGCCACTTTTAAAAAACGTCGAAAAAGATTCATAAGCGATCAAAATGGAAGGCGATAACTTTTTGTCTACAAAAATTATGGCGGAGTCAGTTATGCAGATAGCTTCCCTCAACCCGCTCTTTCAATTAAAACCAAAACCTTAGGTAATGTTAGAGAAAATACAAAAAATGCTCAAACTAGGGGCCGAGCTAAAACTGGGAGGTATCTGTTTAATGATTTTTCGAATAAAGGGTACTGTTGCGGATGAAATGGGTAATTTTCAGAAAAAAAAATTACTAACCAAAAGCTTAGTTGTTTTTCTTCTAAAAAAACTACTTCAATAAGAGATGATCCGCGTATGCAGGTGAGATACCTACTACCCGTTTTTTCAATTGAAATCAAAATCAAGCAGGGTAGTTTTAGAGAGAATTTTTTCCAAGAAAAAAAAAGATTATAACCGTTTATACAGGGAAAATTTTAGCACTATACGATTTTAATTGAAATAACCTCAGAATTGGCGGGACTACTGGTGGAAAAAAAACGTTTCCAAAAACTAATGAAAATTTCAACTTGCTCTTTCAATTGAATCTCAGACTTGGCAGGATAGTTGCAGAAAATGTGAAAACGATTTAAACTTCAGAAATTATTTTTCCCAATAACACAAAAATTTTCGATTAGAATTGGAGTCACCGCTTCTTCGCTTTGTGAGAGCCATAGGTTGTTGCGTAAAAAACATTGGGTGAACCCGCTTAAAGGGAGCTTTCCACAACCCATTTTTTAAATGAAACCGAATCTTGTAAAAAGGAAAACAAAAATCCAAAAACATGGAACAATTATTCCCAATCAGGATTTTTAGAACGCTGTAGATAGTGGGGTAAGAGAAAGAAAGCGTTCAGACTTATAAGCAAGCACACAGGGGAGAGGGCGGTCTTTCTATTGAGAAATCGGCAGAGTAATTAAAAAAAAATAGTTAGTAATTTTTCCGCATCTCACAATAATTTTTAAAATTACAAAAATAAAACAGCTAACTTAAAGTTTTCAAAATTCAACTTTCGATTTCCGAAGTAAACATAGAAGTGAACCTGAGATTCCCACCACTTGCGACGCAAAAAGTACAGGGTTTAAAAAGCATGCCTATCAAGATTTAGCGACGACGATCTAGAATAACCAAAAAAAAAAAAAAAATTTTTGTTTAAAATTAAAAAAAAAAAAAAGAAGTTTTTAAGAGAAACCCAAAAGTGTTAAATTTGAGCATTTCAAAATTTGTCGCCAACGTTATATCAATTACATAACAAATACCGGAAAAGTCGAGGAAACAATATATTGAAATAATTAGTAAAACATAGCCAACAGACAGTTGGAAAAGATTCAATTCACGCAATTCAAAAGAAAAAACTGACTTGTAAAATTTGAAGAAAAACATAGATGCCCTTCAATCCTTCCGAATTTCTAGAAAAACTTATGATTGGCAATTTTTGGATAAAATAATTGTAATTTGAGCAAGCAGGATCAATGGGAAAAACATTTTATGTCGCTTGAAAATCTCAAAATTAAATTCCATTTAGGAAACTAGGAGTCAATCACGTTTTTGTTGACCTTATAACTTTCGCTATTCGATAATGAGTTTGCCTTCCTTAAACAAAGGAAATGAATTCAAATTAAAAAAAAATCAAATTTCGAACCTCGAAAAAGTATTTGAGCCTGAACAAGCAAAAAAAATCATCGCGCAAGAGTCTGAACTACGTTCATCGCCTCTTAATAGGCCGACGGGAACAAAACCGGCAGCCACGAAGCTGAAACTCAGCCAAAAAACTCACTACAATAAAATAGATCTATCAACATGTATGGAAATTGTTTTGTAAAAATCATAGCCCGAAAAAAAAAGCGAAATTAGCATCGGTTGAAAACTTAGCAAGCAGTAACAAAGCCGGAAACATCTGAGCAGAAACCCCTCAAGTCGAAAAAAAATTCCGCTTTCGAAACTGGAATTCACACACGCTTTTTTTCGCGCCATTTCCACGTTGGTACTTGGAGAGCGCAAATGATCTTATTTATAACAGATGCAATTGAATTGAAGTTATAAAAAGCACAAACTCATTAATATGTATGAATGCACATCTGTAGTCATAAGAGCATTTAAGACTTTTTGAATTAAAAAACAATAAGTCAGATATAAGAGTCTCCGCTACTTTCATTACTCTTAAAACACCAAATCCCATAGATTTTCTTAATACCTGTTTTTTTTAAGAACAAGGAATTTGAGAAAAGTTGGTTGCGGGAAAAACATTATAGTTTCCGATTACAAGTACACTTTCTCTCGAAAGTGAAAATAGTAATCGCAAGCAAAAAAGATGTTTGATCCTTTTATATAGCAATGTAACGGTCATTTCTAGCCTAACCACAGACCATTGCATGACGGAAGGATGACATTATATTAAGGCGACAATGTAAAGTTGATGAAACCATTGAATAATTCCCAGAACCGACCAGTTTCTTCTTTGAAGTTGGGCAACTATTCAAACAAACATAGTCAACAGCCAGATGGAAACAAGTCAATGAACGCAAGTAAACAGAAAATGAAACAATGAAACTTTCAAATTTCAAAGTAAAAAAATTATGACCTTACAGCTCTTTCAATTTAAAGAACAGTTTATGATTAACACTTTATGACAAAGAGGCGAAGCGGAGCTACGCAACACTTACGATACCACACCGGCATAGCATTGTAAATTAGCATACAGAAAATGAGACGGAAGCTACTAAGTCTGAGATTTTACTTTGAAAAATCGAAAAAATATATATATTTACAAAAATTCCGCCGTTAAAAATGCATTAAAAATCGGTCATCGAGCGATAATTAAGCCAAAAACACTTCAATAGACGCCACGTGAACCGAAATCAAAAGGATGTCACAGAAAATTCCAATGAGCCAACTATTACGCTCTATTCACTGAAACACACCAAAACAGCAATCTTTTTTGAGCATTTTAGCTCAATTAATTAACTTTGTTAATTTACAGACTGCCGAAAGACTCAATTTTAGTTTAAATCACTTAAGCGAGAGGTTATAAATGCTTTGAAGAGAAAAATTTCATGCTTTTTTTTCAAAAAAAAACTACTCTAATACATCAAAAGATGTTCCGAGGGCGTGTGCCTCACTTCTGGATTAAAATAGAGGGGCTTGAATGATCGTGAGGTTCCATAGAAAAAGCAAGGTGAAATTCTTAAAGACCTTCAAAAAAACAGTCCGCTGGGGATCGAACCATGTATGTACCTTACTATCTGAAGTCGCGTTCTTCACCTCTCGACCAAGTGGTAAGAGACTTGAAGGGTGACGAGGTTCAATCATAAAGCAAGGTACCCATACCTACATATTGAAAAAGAATGTTCTTTACGTGAAAAAAGTCTTGTTCCCGAATACAAAACACTTGCTTTCGGATAAGAAATAAAATTAACTCAATTTGAAGAAACTGTATCAAAAATTACGACTTTAATTCCGCTGGAAAATCTGAAGAGTAAAACCCTCAATCAAATGAATTTGGTCACTTTTTTCGTGAATTTTAACCTTTTGCTGTTCGATAGTGGAGTTTGATTTCCTTTAAGCAAAGGAAGTGAACTGAAACTAAGAAGAAATCAAAAATCCAACCGCAAAAAAAAAACAAATTTGAGCGCGTGAACAAACTAAGAGACTTTTTCCTGGAAAAAAAAACAGAAAAAACAAAAATCTCGCCAAGACCTATATACAAGTCTTCACTAAGTTCAATGAATCTTAAAAGCACCAGTATTCATTTTGAAAATATTTTGAGTTTTGTATTCACTTTGAAAATAATTTGTTGCATTTATGTGGTCGAAACAATCTGAGATACTTGAAGAGCAACCAGCCATCCTTGTATAATATGTCTTTTGTTTCTTAGGGGATAGTTTATTTGATCAATAAGAGGGAAATATTGTCCCATGTTTCACTTCCAATAAAAGAAATAAATCCGAAAATTTTTTTCGAAGCCAAAACACTCGAATGATAAAACATTTCTCCAAAACATGTTTTTCCCGAATTAAACTCAAACTCAAAACTTTATCTTTTCAGGCAAACTTTTGGGAAGATTCCCATATTGAAATTATCAAGTTAACAGCGATGCCCGACATCAATTTTTAAAAAAAAAATGGGTTCAATTAACGTTGCCTTTAATGCCTAGATTTTTGGTTCAATTTGATATCCATTTTCATCATTGTGAGGATGTAATGGAAGCTTGGCTTAGTTCAAAAAAATATTATGTAGTGACTACTTTGTGCATTTTGCAAACCATAACGTCAGATATACACTCATTGGCTTTGAGCAACAGCTATGCCAAATATTACAAAAAAAAATCACAAGCATTTTTTTAGGCTTTTTGAAAGTCTCTTCGGCGAGCAGTCTAGCCAACTTTTTGTCCTCAACCCGTTCAAAATATTCCAAAGAAATAAAAGTCCAGACAGTATTTTCGACACAGAGACGAAGCTGAGCTTCGCACCACTTGCGATACAAAACAAGAAAGTCGCTAAATCGAAAAAAAAATATTCGCAAACTTCGAAAAAAAACTCTATCTATCGATAAGGCTACTTTTGAAATAAAAACGAGCCAAGACAATAGAATGTAAAAACAGCATCAAAAGAAAATTTATCAAGCGGTAACAAAACCGGAAATACCTTAGCAGATACCCAGTAGGCCGAAATTAAAAAAAAAATTATCAAGTCCCCCATACCCTCAAACAAACAAAGACACACACACACAAAATTCATTCACGCGTCAAATGAAACATCATGCGGCCACTATGTCGATATAATATTAGCCGAAACCTATTAAGCCGACAAAAAAAGGAAAATAAAAAAAATAATAAAAAAATAGTAAAAAAACAATTTTATGACTATTTTTAAGTTATTCAATCCCCCTCATCCTCAAAACACATACACAGCTCGTAAAACGAGGCAATATGAGGCGACTAAGCCGATGTAATATAGGCCGAAACCCATCAAGCCGAAAAAAAAAGAAAATGCAAAAAATCGAAAAAAAATTCAAGAACTTTTCAGACTAATAAGAAGTTATTAAGTCCCCCTCACCTTCAAAACACAGACAAGCACACACAATTTTTTTGCCCATCGAATGGCGCAATATAATAAAGGCTGAAACTTATCAGGCTGAAAAAAGCCGGAAAATAATTTCTATTAAGGTTTTTAGCATTTTGTGCAATCCAGCGGTGAGCATAAAAATTATTTTACCCTTGAACTAGTCGAAATGAGGCCACTAAGCCAATTTAAATAGGCCGAAGCATATAACGCCAAAAAAGGACAAAAAAAAACAAAAATTAAAATTTTAACAAATCGAGTAGGAAAAATCACAACCAACATAAAAAGCAAATTTTGAAAAGGAAGGATATTTGAAATTACATGCTCATTCATGCTTAATATTTGCAACCGAGAGTGGGAGAGGAGTGGGATATGAGGAGTAAGAGAACGAAGCGGTGAAGTAGCCCACAACTGAGTTTTGTGGACACAGTTATTTACTGGGAAAAAAAGTCTAGTACCCTATTGCAATACCCTTGCTTATCGGAAGGGTATAAAAACCTATTTGCTAAGTGTTCAAACTGTTTTTCAGATATAAAAGAAAGGTGAGAACGCGCCACAATTTTTACTTTAAAACAAAAATTACCAAACGAAAAACGACTTTTCCAAAGTTCCGTCCTTCTGATGCAAGAAAACATTGAACACTCTTACCAAATTTCCTGTCTATATGTGAACAGGCCCCAGATTTTAACCCATAAGGATTCTGCACTTACCGTCTTCATAGAAACCATATGCTTGTTGAGTTCCTGTGTCTGAGTGATAATGCTTTCAACATTTGTCTCGTGTTCGTTTAATCTCTCAGCCAGTTTTTTAGCAGTTTGTAGCAAACTTTGTATTGTGCAAGATGCGTTATTTCCACCATTATTATTCGGGCTAGAACTTCTTGGTATATTATTTCCAGAAACACCAAAACTGACATTCATTCCAGGGTTGGAGGATGCGCAACCTGGAGCTGTTGCAACTGCCATCTACTAATTTCAATTGACAATTTACAATTATGTGAACGTGAGAGCACTGCGCCCCTAACTGAAATACACTAAAGTAACAAAACTTCGTTTTACATTACCCTATCTAAAACAAAACAAATACAAAGCAGTACTATGCCACCATCTTTTCAGATTCACGTTTTTAATAGCAGAACTACTAGTATATCCGGTATTCCGAACTTTGATGTCCACTTCGATCAAACTTATTGATTAGTGAATTATTGCATCGGCACAAAATGTAACTGGAGGTTGAAGCTACAAACACGTCTAGAATATTAATGCATCTACAGTGTCGTGAAGTCTTAGTAGGAAAAATTCACCTAAAAGGGGTCATTCCGTCAAGCAACGGTCCGTGCAGAGGTTGGAAAGGGTCAAACCAGCGCTACACAAAAGCATCAGCGAATAATTTCAGAAAAATCATGTAGTTTTTATAGCTGTGACATTCGACCAGAATGGACAAAATGCAAACTCTGCAGTCTAGGAATTTTTAGCAGCGAACCTTCCGAATTGGCGATTTAGGAGGAATAAGAACGTTATTCGAACGATTGGACAAATCGTGAAGGCTGAAGGATTCGGAAATTCCTAAATTTTAAATTTTCGAAGTGATGACGTAACAATTCTCAGAAACGTCAAAAACGGCCATTTTGGCGGAAAGGCTAAAAAGCAACACAACAACGATAGTTGCGCTGACGAAGACAACGAAAATTGTGATAAAAAAAAACCACAGAGAGAAACAGAAGTAACAGAGACCGCTCCGATTTGCAACTATTGTGTCGCTACAATAGTTGCAAAGCAGTTGCTAACAACAGTGAGGGGTGGAAACCAGCCTCCCGGATTACTGAGAAATCAAGCTTAACGTGCTCGATTCAGTGGATTCGAGGATCCGGAGGGGGTTCGGAACTGAAACTTTTATCATTTTATATGAACTTTTAGCTTCCCTGTCATGTCCTGAATTGAATTTAATTAACATCCGAATTCATTCCACTAAGATGAGAAGCTAGGAGTTGGGGGAAAGGGTTGATCCATCTTCGATGGAGATGATGATTTTTATCTACTGAACAAAAACAATAATAATTCAATAAATAGTAGTAGCCCTGTTTTTAGGAGTGACCTCGTGGTCTGGGGATACTGAGACCCAGCCATGAGCTCACTATTTCTGCATGTAATTAAGTTAATTTGAGTGTTTTGACCGAAGCCGAAAACAGTAACGTTTTTTGTCGACCCGATGTTAGAAAAGACCACCGAAAGTACTGGCTTGGTAGAGACGGTGAAAACCATGTAAAGCTCTGTTTAGACGTGTGACATTCGACCAGAATGTGAAAAATGCAATCTCTGCAGAATTCGGAATTTTAGCAGTAAGCCTTCCGGATTGGTGGTTTTTATGAACTAAGGGCGTTATTGGAACGTTTAGCCAGACGGTGAAGGCTGGAATATTCTAGTATTTTGAAATTTCAAAAATTCGAATGATGACGTCACATTTCTGAGAAATGCTGAAACGGCCATTTTAACAAAAAACGAGAAAAAAAAACAGAACAACAACGTTAGTTGCGCTGACGAGAACAACTTTATTGAAAAGTCGAAATTGAAGAAAAACAGCAGCAGAGTGCAGAGAACGTTCCGACTCGCAACTATTGTGCTGCTACAATAGTTGCAAGGCCGTTGCGAACAACGGTGAAGGGTAAGAAACCAGCCTTCCGTATTGTCGTGAAATCGAACTTAAGGAGCTTGATTCAGCGGATTCAAGAAACCGGAAGGGTCTCGGGACGGAAAACTTTTATTGACTCATATGAACTTTTAGCATCCTGTCATGTCCTGACTTGAATTTAATTGATATTTGGATTAGTTTTGACAAGGATGAGGTGCTAAGAGTTGGGGGGGAAAGGGTTGATCCATCTTCGATGGAGATGATGATTTTTATCTACTGAACAAAAACAATAATAATATATGTGCCAGTCGGTCATATTTGGAAGTTTGACCTTGAGAGAAGCAAAAAACACTTGATTTTGGAGTGAAATTTAATTTTTCAAAATTTCGAATTGAACCTGTCATGCACGATTTTCTCGCGATAACTGAAAATCAGAAAAAAGAAATCAGAACAATTTCAGAACGATTGAGACACACACGCGGGAAAGTTGTAAGAAAAAGCAGTAGGAAATTGCTATTCGCAATTTCCATCACTATCATAATCGAGAGTAGAGCTGTCCCATCTGTGACAGAGACGAGAGCATTCCCACGAATTGGATTATAGCGACTGGAGTGTTATTCGGAACTGGACTAGAGTGAACCTTCGGTGGAAAGGTGGACAACTTGAGTGTCCTAATGGTTCACAAGAAAACTATTGTCTAGAGTATAAACTCGTTCTCATTGTTAAAACTATAAAACATTAGACTCATTTAGTTACGTTATTTAATTCTTGAGTTAACTACCGACTGGATTATTTCCCACTTCTTGAGCGTGCTACTATGTGAGTACAAATTTAAATTCTAGAGTGTGTTTTATGATTGTTATGTTGAGGTAAGGCGAGTTTTAGGTTGATCCATCTGAAATGGATCAAAGTTCCACTGTCTAATAAAAAGTAACTTAACGGATTGTTCCAACCCGGTTTTTAACGGCGTTCATGTATTTTGGGTATCTAGAGACCTAAGTATGGGGACGTTTCTAATTCTAGAGTGGGGGGATATTTTAGTAGTAGCCTTTAAGCTGTAACGGGTCGTAGTCTCATGTCACAAACGAACCGAACTGGCTCCGACCGTTCTTGAGGTAGAAAAACACAAGAGATGGTGTCCCTGACCCTTGAGCCAGTGGTTATAGGGCCTATTTTTCTTAAGCCTCATGTGTGACTGCAGTAGACGAATGTTACATAGTGTTTTTATGGCGCTCCTGGGTGTTTACGACATCAAGACTACGGAGTCGAACCCACTTGAGACAGCTTCGGGCTGAATGCCCATTCTAGAGTACCGGCGGTACGGTTCGACAGGAACGTGCAAACCTTCCGGTTGTACCGTGATAGCTTTTTAAGAAAACTCAAGAAAACTTCCTGGTACGCTCTCCGAACGAGGCTTAGCTAACCGAGTAAAGGGGGGCAACTAGGGGGACAAAAACACGAGCAAAAAGACAAAAAGCAAAACAAAAACCAAAAAAGAATAGAAAAAGGAACAAAAACCATAAAACGAAAAAAGACAGTGACTTTGACACCAGATCAGTTGGATCAAACCTTTATATTAATTAAATAGTATACCCATACTGTTTTATAAGTTCGATCGTTTTGATCAACCTAGCAATTTAACCCAGTAACCGTAATAAAGTGCCCGAGTGTGGGGCGTTGTCAAGGGTTTTCAGATAGTTTGGAACTTAGCTGGACCAATAGGAGACTTCACTGGAAGAGGTGACCAGCCGAGTGGGAAAGTGGTTCAGGGACACTTGAGCTGAACCAATAGGAGACTTGACTGGAAGAGGTGACCAGCCGAGTGGGAAAGTGGTTCAGGGACATTTGAGCTGAACCAAAAGGAGACTGGACTGGAACAGGTGACCAGTCGAGTGGGAAAGCAGCCAAGAAGGATTTGGCAATTCTCGAGTTCTCAAGTTGGGCAGAACGGGTATCGTTAAAATCCACATTACATTATAGGAGATAAGCGTAAAATAGGATAAACGACATCCCCCGGTTTTGAGGAACGTTTTTACTTGAGTAGGCCTGGAGACAGGTCTACGGTTTTCTCTTGAGAGGTTTAGCACCCGGCGCTTAAGGTAATTTTAGGCTTAGGAAGGGGGGCTAAAAAGGGGGGAGGTTAGAAGGGGGGCTGGTTAAGTTAGAGGTTGGCGGTTGTAAATTGTAAAAAGGGAGAAACTAGAGTAACTAATTAATCGACATCGTTGACTTAGTTACATTAGCCATAACACGCGTTGGTGATAATAGGTGAATATCCAAAATTCAACTCGAGTTAAGACTGGTACGCTGGTTGGTTTGGTAGGGGGGACCGGATATAGACAGCTTTTGTGATACCCCATAAGATCACTAGTGGGGGGAGGAAAACGCGTGGCAATTAGGTACCAGACATTTTTTTTAGACGAAAGGTAGACATTGGTCACCTTTGAATTTCAGGTGGGCTCACTTTTCTGTTTTTATTATTTTTCTTACTTAGATTTTTGTTGCATTTTAGTGAGGATTTGTGTTTGGTTTTATACGAACAGGTGATCACAAGATACCTGCGCACCTACATTGAAATAGAAACAACCAAAAAGAAGAGGGGGTCAGCATTTGGCTTTTAAGAGAGGGTTTTTGGGAAAATTTTACTAGAGCTTGAGTGGTGGTACAAGGTACGGTGATTCAAGAAGACCCTACAACGAGGAAGACACTCCGTGACGAGTCTTGGGACAGGGTCTTGGGACAGGGTCTTGGGACAGTGGTCTTGGGACAGGGTCTTGGGACAGTGGTCTTGGGACAAGGGTCTTGGGACAGGGTCTTGGGACAGGGTCTTGGGACACTGGTCTTGGGACAGTGGTCTTGGGACAGGGTCTTGGGACAGGGGTCTTGGGACAGTGGTCTTGGGACAGGGTCTTGGGACAGTGGTCTTGGGACAGGGTCTTGGGACAGGGTCTTGGGACAGTGGTCTTGGGACAGTGGTCTTGGGACAAGGGTCTTGGGACACTAGTCTTGGGACACTAGCCTTGGGACACTGGTCTTGGGACACTAGTCTTGGGACAGTAGTCTTGGGACACTAGCCTTGGGACACTAGTCTTGGGACAGTAGTCTTGGGACACTAGCCTTGGGACACTAGTCTTGGGACACTACCCTTGGGACACTAGTCTTGGGACAGTAGTCTTGGGACAGTAGTCTTGGGACAGTAGTCTTGGGACACTAGCCTTGGGACACTAGTCTTGGGACAGTAGTCTTGGAACAGTGGCCTTGGTACAAGTGTCTTAGGACACTAGCGGAGAGTACTGGGATAGTGACGAATAGTCTTGGGACGGTATAAAAATTGAAGTAAAATTACAATAAGTGTGTCTTAAGACAAAATAAGACTAATTGGAACCAGGCACGGTTGAGACCACAAATAAGGAAAGTTTCTCGAAAAGTTAATAAAGAGAACTGAAACAAGGTTTTCACCACGTTGTATATTT